AAGAATCAGTGAATGGAAAAGCGAGAAGTGAAGAAGAAGGAGAAAGAACTGACAGCCCTGGAGAGGAAGAAGAGACAGGAAAACTAAGATACAAACTTATGAAGACATACAAACCTGGGGCCACTTAGAGTTTAAAAAAAAAGACACATGGAAAGTGTCACTTAGTGTCTGTTGGCTGTGTCTGTTGTAAAGACATCAGTAACTTTGATTCCCTGAATGCTGACCAGCTGCAGACCTCTCAGGGCGATCTATTATACATAGGGCATTCGAGGCAAGTGTCATCCTATAATCTAGGGCTGTGGCCTGAGGCCTGGGACCCCCTGAGAGCCACTCCAGACCTCCTTTCTCCCAGATGCCAGCCTAGCTCTTCGTTAGCATCCTCCTAAGCAGAAAGAATCTCCAAGGTATACCTTTTGACCTTTTAATTATTATATAGTGAATGCCCGTTACATTCTGATTGTATCATTTTAAGAGAGGTAGTTAAAATCCAGCCATATGTGGTGGTCAGACCTGGCTGCAGGGGCCAGTGCCCTCGAGCCCCGTCTGCAGGAAGAACTGCATCCTGGTTCCGTTGCGCCAGACACAGCAGTACAACGGAAGAGCTGCTCCAAGTTGTTTAATTTGGCCAATTGATTTTAAAATATCTTTTTCTGAATTGGTAGAATATGTGATATAAACATCACTGATTATGGAAAACTGCATACAAAATAAAACAGCTAAAGCTCAAATTTAGCACAGTCACCCTTTTAAAAAGAAAGTACTTGTCCCTTTTGCTTTAATGCACTTGATACTGTTATGGTATGACTTCAGTGTCATTCAGGAAAGAAACTTGCTTTCAAGTCTGGCGACCCTTCTTGGAATTTCTGGCCAGTTCCAGTTCCCTACTCTCCCGAAACTACTTATTTGCTGAGTAGCTGAACTTACATCCTAATGCACAGGGACTACAGACTACGAACTTCCTGAGGTTTCTGGCCTCCAGGCCCCCGCCACTCCTGCACAGCCGTCCTCTCCCCTCTTACTCTTTTTCCAACTCAGGAAAAGCAAAAAGTAATTTCCCTCTTATTCTAGCTGATCCCTCAGCCCTGGATCCCATCTCCACTTGACCTTACTCCACGAGTTACTTCCTCTTTCCCGGAAATCTTCAATCAGCCATTCCCTTCCCTGCCATTGTTTAGTTCCCATCTCACTTCCAAACCTCTTCCCTACTCCTGTTCCCTGTTAATGCCATCCTCCCCCATTCACCAGGCCCCAAACCCTAACAGGTAGCCAGGTTCTTCCCCTGCTCTGCCATTAGCTGACTAGTTACCTGTTGACTCTGCCTGCTAAATAAACATCCCTTTCTCTCAGTTACCACTGCTAAGTTCAGATCCTTGTCATCTATTACCTGGAACACTGCCATAGCATCCTACCTGGTGTGTCTTCCTCCAGCCTTGCCCCCTTGACTGTGTCACTCTCCCTAAACGTCTTCAGTGGCCCTGCGTTGCTCACTAGGCAAAGCATAAATCCGCAGGCATGGAAGAGGCGCCGTCTGCCTCTCATCTCCTGCCATGCCCGTCATTCCCCACCCTCACTCTTCCTTGCAGTTCTCTAAACATCTCATTGATTCGCTCAGGTGTGCGCCTTTGATTTCCTTGTAACAGCCTTTCCTACTGTGCGCCACTCCAACACGTACACCCCCCATTCTGCCCCCCCCCCCAGGTCACCTGGCTGACCCTGCTCATCCCTGGAGACTCAGCTCTTGGGTTGAGACTTGAGCCTGAGCAGGGCCCCTCCCCCAGCTTCCTTCACACTTTGCAGACACTTTCAGTAGAGCATTTTCACAGTGTTTTTAATGGGAGAAACCTACAGTGAAGTCCTTGAGCCAATATCCTTTTTATCTTTGTATATGTCATCACTTAATAAAAGTTTATGAATGAATAAAAATGGTTAATGAATGAAGTCTGTTTGGAAGATCTCTAGGGAAATAAAAAGGACAAAAAGTCTGCAGTATTCAATTTTTACAAATGCAACCCCGTATTGTTTAACCCTTGAGGTCACAAAGCAAACAAAACTTAAGAAATATGAATTTTAGATACAGAAATTCAAAAAGGAATCCAGGTAAACCCTATTATACAAATAAAAATTTAGTAAGCTGCTGGCGCTTCAATGTGTATTTCTAGAACAGTTACCTGGAGAGCTATATACATAAGTAACCTTCAAAATGGTTTAAAAAAAAAAAACAAAAAAAATTAAAAACAACAACAAAACCAGCCGCATATGGCTCTGGATGCCTTTATTTAAAGCTGTCCAAGAAGGGAATATGTAAATAACAATTTCATAAAGATTGCCTTCTGAGATAATTGTGTGATCCTTTAATTAACGAACTTTGGGTCTGCTTGGACAGTTAAATCCTTTCTTCGGCATATGGAATACAAAGAAATGTCCCAAGATTTTCAAAATGCTACCTCCACTACTGCTTTTGTGAAGGTAAGGAAGCGCATTGGTTCTATCATAACATCCCTTTACTCGGTGCTGTTTGCAAGAGCCCTTTTTAAAGTAACTTCACACCATCTACTCTATTTTGCGCTCCTAATGTAACTGGAAGACCCTGTATCATGAGACAACTGTCAGGTACAAAACTGGAACTTGCTCCATACTTCTAGTCCTTTTTTTACTAACCTTACCAAGTTAAGCAATACCGGACTATCCTGAGACCTGGCAACCTAGAAGCCAGTTTATACCCCAAAGACTTTCCCTAAAAATAACTTCACAATTCTATAGCTATTTTATGATTCTAAAACTTTTTTAATGAGTCAGTGCTATCTATTTCACTCATTCTCCTCACAGTAAAACAAGACTGTATACTTTATCCAGTTATATTCACTCAGAGGAACACAGATGAACCCAAAGATATCACGGACTATCTGAATGTTGATTTTGGACTCTGCTTCAGGAACTCCAAGAAAAGCTTTCAGCTTACAGGCTCTAAACATCATGAACAATCCAGAAGCAGCTGTGCCTGCATTCCTGATGCTTTTCCATAAAAGACATAGAAGGGACGATGGCTTTCTTTTTCATACCAACACGACATTTCGTACTCAAGCTCACTTGGCAACAACCAGAGTCCCAGCATATACCTGCTTGGAATGAACCCCAGGTTACCCATTGGAGCCTTACATGGATATTTTTGCCCGTAGTAGTATTTTGAATTCTGATATACCATATTTCATTGATTCTAACTAATATGTACTCTTTTTTTATTTTAACATCTCTGAAATTGGCATTTATCTTACAATCAGTGCTTATCATAATTTAATTGACATGGTTTTTCTAAACTGAACAAACAGGGTGCCAAAAAAATGTATACACATTTTAAGAAAGGAAAAAACTATTAAAATTGTAATAATATATTACCAATAACAAAAGATGAATTATAAGTCACGTTTGACTTGTGCAATTACAAGAGGTGCTCAAAGTGGTTACCATCAGTGTCCAGGCACTTCTGATTATGGTGAACTACTGCTTGAGCAACGTTGAGCAAAGTTATCTGTTTGTATACATGTTTTTGGCACCCCTGGTACATGTCTTACATTTAGTATAAGTCATGTACAATAGCATCTTAAATTTTAAGAAATGTTTTATATGTATGTTACTACATGTAATTATATATTTATTTCTTGTTTCAAGAAATAAGTTATATATAACTATATAGTTATATATATTTCTTAAGTTTCAAGAAATAAACTTAAGATATATATATATATATATATATATATATATATATCTTAAAAATAATTTACTTGGTTTCTAAGATCTATTTAATACATAAATAGAACAGTAGTAAAAATTACAACCTTAGCTGTAAATTTCATTGTTTGCAATAGCTGTTTTGGCAGACATTTATGTTGGAATCAAATTAACACAGTCTGATATTCACTCTCGTATTCCTGTTTTCTGCAGGACAAAATCATATATATCAGAAATTATCTCAAGTAAATGTAATTTGATCCAGCTCATTGGCTCCTTTGTTCCCTCTCCCTGTTCTTTTAACTTATTTCTTGTGTGCATTTTCAGCTAATATTTGCTCAGATATCGTAAAGTGTTACTGATAATATTCATTTTTTTTATTCTTTAATGTTTGGGGTTCGGATTCTTTGCTTCTCTAGTCTACCAATATTTTTCATCTGAGTTAAGCTAGAATGCCTTCTCTTTCCTATACATAAAAGTCTATAGGTATCTTAGTGTTTGAATCCTTTCTTCTTTGGGAGTTCCTTTCTCAGGGACAAATGTAGTAAAACTTTAATGAGCTGGAATGATTAGTGAATAATTACTACACTAAAACAGGGTTTCTTTCTTTTTTATATTAGTTTCAGGTGTACAAAACAATGCAATAGTTATCCTTTTCACCCCTCACAAAGTGACAACCCCCCTTCCCTGAAACAGGGTTTCTGACTAACTGTAGTTGCTGCAGTTTCTGAAATACAGTATATTCATTCCCTTTGCTAGCATATTAAGTATCAAATAGTTTTGAACAGAAATTGGCCCCTTTTGATCATTCAGTTGTGACCAGCCACTAAGTATCACCTTCAACATCTGTGGCCCTCCCTGGTCACAGAGGACAGAAGGTGGCACATCTGGCAAAAGGCCTTACAGGACCCAGACATACTCCACATGGCGCCTATCCTTTTTCATGCCATCGTGCTCAGGAAATGCCAGTGTTTGTGTAACATATAGATGAGGCTGCTCACAGCTGGAGGGAACATTTGGAAAACGACACTGTAGAAATTGTTTTCAAAAGTAAATTGCAAGCTATTGGTCTGATTTATCACCATTTCTCAAAGAAGAAATCAAACTTCGAAAGACACTTGAACTGCTTGTCAGTTCCACTCAATCAAGGTTTTAACAATGTAATCATATCGTGCCTATTCAGTACTAACTGTGGTTTGTATAGAAGTGCTTTGACAGGAAAAATCTCATCCGTGCATTTCCCTTCTGGTCACTTTGTCACTGCTCTTTTGCAGGTCCATACATTCAGAGGGCCACACTGGTGTGAATACTGTGCCAACTTCATGTGGGGTCTCATTGCTCAGGGAGTGAAATGTGCAGGTGAGACCTCTTCCCTTTCATGTCATTGAGTAAGCTATTATATGAAGTTGTAAGAAGTAAGTTATTAGGAGATTTGCTGTTACGCAGATTCCATGGGCTGGATCCTGGTTTGTGCTTAACACACATGCGGTAGGCTGGATTCTCAGGCAGCCACTTTGGAAATTGATATTTTATCTGCCCTTAACCTTGTACTTAATGGACAGCAAAATAGGAATCTGGCATTAGTCCATTAAAAAGAGAGAAGTCGGCTTGTTCAAAAAGTCTGATAAAAGGAGATAAAAGTAAGGCAGTTATATTTAACTGTTGCCTTAGATGTTGCATGAACTAAATTTATAAAAATCATTTTTTTAAAAAAGCAGTATACAGGGACCTATGATTGTTGCCATGGAAACTGAATTTTAAAGATAACTTGTTAAGCTGGATTGTCCTTACTAAATTTTTGTGAAATAAAATTGAAGCTTTAAAAATTTGTGAATTTATCTTCAAAGATGGTTAGCAAATTATGAAAAACCACGTAGTAACTAATACTTTATTTGTGACATTTTCAAATCTTGAATATGCCAAATATTTTTTATGAAATATGACCATAGTATTTTTAGATTTAAATTTAGAAACTTTCAAGATTTACACATAAAGAATTAACCAACTTAGGGATTTATTGAAATCCTTTTTGAAATAAATAGTTATTCACATCACGTGAAATTCATTTGTATAGAACAACTATACAGAGTATTAGCCATTGGCATAAGCTTAAAAATAGCCACTTAAATTTTAAATGTATAGTGTTTGGTCTTAGAAGTTTCGCTATTTAAATTGTAAAACTAAAAAATACCTTCTTACATGTCTTTCAGCATGAAGGTTAATGCTAAAAATGTATGTTAAAAGTAAAGTATTTCAGAATGAAAACTGTAGTAATTCTGTCAAATTTATCACTGTAAAAATCCGCATTTCTTTTGTGGCATGATTTTTTTTTTTTTTTAAGATTTTTATTGGGGAATTGGGGGGATGGGAACAGCGCTGGGGAATTGGGGAAAGGGGAACAGACAAGTTGCTGTTATTTTGTTCTTCAGTCTAGTTGTGGAGGATGTTGCTTCACTGGCCCAAGCTGGCACCATCATTGCACTCTTCTCGGGCGAGGCAGATCAGTCGCCGGCTTCTGGACGGCTGCTCACTGCAGCTGCTGGCCGGCCACTCATGCTGGCTGCTGGCTACACACGGTAGCCCATGGCAACTGTGGCATGATTTTTAATGCAATGTTTTTGTTGTCCATTACATGCAGAAACTTCTGGGGTCTGTTTTTCTTATTTCTACATTGCATTTTTGTTGAATAGCAAGGTGCAGTATACATTGCACCTTGTGAATATTCCACGTCACCCTTCTTTCAGTTATTATTCTCTTCGTATCACTAAAGCATGATAAAGTTCCAGGCATACATCACTCCCCAAATCCATTCAAGGACCTCCCTGCCACAGGCAGGGATAAGAATTCCCCATGTGTGGACTTGGAACTGCACAGAGGTGGTGTCCATCAAAGAGCATCTCAGCTCAGATCCAGTCTGACCCTTCTGTCATCCTAGAGGGATGACAGCACCATTTGCAAGTCTATCCAGGGAGTAAGTGAAAACAATGTTACCATTCCAGCTGGTGGTTACCCAGAGTCCGGATGAGGACCTGTCATTGGGAAGGTGGTGGTTAATTAGGCCTTTGAACCAGAGAGGAACATGGTAGAAGATAAAGTGTTGAGAAAGGGGTGTTGTTAAGACCATCTACATTGTTGTGGTTTTTCAAAGGCAAATAGAATACTCCTTCCAAAGCATAAATCATCTGCTCGGGGGACGCTGGTCTCAATAAGCCTGGGTTGCCTTTATGACACAGCCTTGACCAGCCGAGACTCTGCGACAGTTTTGTAAACACTTGATGACTGTCACTAACTTAAATGCTTTGACTAGACTAATGGTGTGTATCATTCACATTTTGAAAGCGAAGGTCATCTACATAAGAATTCTGAGTCAGCTCTTAGGTGTTAACGGGTACAACACCTATGAATAATCTTTGCAATACGCTACGTTCCCAAATCATGTTTGAAAGGAATGTTCTGGAACATTTATGATCGTAATAATATGAACAAAAGAAGGAAGAAAATGATTCACTTCTCCCACAGCCACCTGCATTGAATAGCCCTCACTCACCTCTTGTTCTGAGGAAAGGGGAGGATTGAAAGGAAAACCTTGAGGAGATTTTTCATTTTATAGCATATCTTGTCCTTTAAAGCATTGTATTCTATGTGACTTCAGCGGTATTAATGTGTAGCATAAGAACAAGTCAGCCCAGTTTTTAAAATGTGGAAGGTTGGAATTTGAATTAGTTCTGTTTTCTATGACAACTAATTATATTTGGATTGACAGTGGGATGCTTAGATATGAGGTAGCTCATCCTGACCTTTGAGCCATCCACTTTATCTAAAACAATGCAGAAAATTAAGAATTTAGAGAGAGAGAGAGAATACACTAATTGTGGTGGGCTGACCATTGGCTCCCCAAATATTTCTACTTCCTAATCCCCGGAACCTGTGAATATTGAATATGTTACCTTTTGTGGCAAAAGGGACTTCATGATTAAGTTAAGGATGTTGAGATGGGGAGATCGCCCTGAACTGTCAGGGTAGGTCCAGTGTAATCAGAAATCACAGGGGTCATTATAAGAGGGAGGCAGGAGAGGCAGAGGCAGAGGAAAGGTGTAAGGACAAAACCAGAGGTCATCAAAGAGAGAAGATACTATGCCCCTGGCTTTGAAGAGGAAGGGGCCGCAAGCCAAGGAATGCAGGCAGCATCCAGAAGCTGGGAAAGGTGAAGGAAAGAAACACTGTGTTTCGCCACTAAACATTAAAGCTATTACTTCCAAAGAAAAATGGCAGGCTTACTGCTTTTCAGAAAAGAGATGTATTTATCTCCTGTTGATCCCTAAGACAGCTTGCTTTGTTCTGGTTTCTTTTTTCAAAATCCACCAAGGCATAGCTTGTCAGGAATTTTTAAATGAGTGTTTGCCAAAAGCAATGATTTTGTATCCCACCTCTTTTTTTTTTTTTTTAACATTATGTAAAGTGTTGGGTGGTGTTCCAGTCACCATATTGGCACAGTTGCTGTAGGAATGAGACTGCGTCCAGCTAATAGCAGGCAAGCTGTCCCTCTAGGACTGAAAGCTCTAGGCTTGTTGCTAAGTACCCCACAGCCCACAGCCAACAAGGACAACTGAGGGAGCAGCAGGGATAATCATGAGACTACCAGTCATTACAGACATGATCTTTTAAAACCCCGCAACACAAGCTTCCATATAGGCATTAGCTGTCTCCTCTACCAACGTCTCCTTTCCTCTAGCCTCCTTGAAAGTGAGCACAGTGATGTTTCAGGGGGTTATCAAACTGCACTTTGGGAGTGGGTACTCCTACTAAAATATTTGGGAGCGGAATAGGTAGCCTTTCAAAGTAAAGTTCAAAGGATTATCTGCTCAGGTAAAATAGCTTTCCAAATCAATTTCCTTTTCTTTATGAAATGTAAGCTTACATGTTAATCTATTATTATTAATATTTAATCACTGAGATAGCCAAACATCCCTCCCACCAAAAAGACCATTATTCCACCAGCATTCCTGAATCGCTTTCATTTTAGCCTTCCCAGAATATTCTAAGACATTAACCTGGATAATAATTGTTGTAAATCAGACATATCAACTTAGTAGTGATTATTGATTAAAGTGACTTCGTTTTTCCAGAGTATCATTATCATTGCTGCCGACTCCCAAAAGGAAATGGCAGCTTTTTTTCCAAATAATAAAACGTATTTATTGCTTCAAATATATAAGCATTTAACTTTTAGGATGAAGGAAAAAAGTGGAAGTAATGTCTTTTATTTTAATTACTGCTCTGATTGACTGTACCTTAAAAGTTATGTTTGTCCTTATAAACCAGTGAGAAAGAAATTGGTTAGACTTGCTTAAAACTTTCATGTATCCCCTTTTAATTAAAAGTAATATTTTCATAAATATCTCAAAGAATAAGGTATTTGTCCTAGTTTTGCTTATGTAATTAATGATTTCTGATGCATATTAGATATGAGCTACTCCCACTTTTCCTGGATTGTGGGGGAGACTACTAAGAAATAGTTTAAAAATAGAACTTTCATTTGCAATTTTTTCAAATATGAACACTCATAGAAAAGAATGACTTACATTTATTTTCAGAACACGTTAATATTACCCCTTAATTCTATCAGTAGAATATAAATAATATCAGCTATTTATTTCAAAAAGTAGGTTTCTGTGCTTTCTAGATATAAAGCATACATGTTTTTAGAGAGATCAAGCCCCACAAAATCTGAGAGTAGCCTAGTTAGTAATCTAAGTAATAGAAATATTTTATTAATAAAGAAGAGAATAAAATGTGGTTTGAATTTTTTATTCCCCCTTTTATATGTTTATTCTATGCTTACTAACTTGGATAATTGAGAGGGGGAAATGTGGTTCAATCGTAGCATAAAAATAACCTACCAAACCACGAGATGCAACAAATGAAATGATCTTTTATGGATTTTTTTTTCCATTTATAGTGTAGCTCTTCAACGCCTGGGAGAAATGGAACTATATAGGAGTTATATGACTTTAATAAATAAGTATGAAAACCAAATAAAGTCTTAATGGCAAACTGAAGTATTGATATACGGTTAGTCCTTGAAGCAGCAATTTTCAGAGCAAGCCCAGAGCTGGTATATTGCACTGTGAACCCAGGGGTATAAAGATGCTTTAATGACTTTGCCCTATCCTTTGGTCTGCTGAAGGACTTCTTATCCAATCCTGCCAAAAATTTGGCCTTCACATTTATTTCTAAAATTGAGCACAATATATTGCCCCATAGTTTAATTTCATCCAAATAGGAGAAAGAGTATCAGTTTAGAAAACATTTTTCTCTTCCTTAAATACCAAAATCTGAGCTCGGTCATCACTTTGTCCAGTTTTCACGAAGTCACAAATTATTGGTGCACTAGAGAAGAATTATGTGGGCACTAGAGAACCCCACAACCCATAAATGTCAACAGGCACAGACCAAAAATAATCACAAGAAAAGCCTGCTCTTCCTAGCCAAAGCCCTAGGAAAAGGGTAGCCAGTCAAACAGAAATCTTTTAGCCACACCTTCCAGTCTCAAGATGAACACCATGAAAAAGCCACATTGCTGTCCCTCCCCAGGGAATGCTTTAGCAGCAGTAGGCGGGTAGAACCCTGTTCCCCCCCCCGCACCCCCCGTCATGCAATAACAAGGGTACACTCCTCTCCCTTGAGTCTATAAGTGGAGCCCTATCCTCCATCACCATCTTGCAGGAAGAAGGTGGTAGTCCTCCTTGGCAGAGCCTGTGGGACCCTGGCGTTCATACCCACCCACCTCTATAGGGAGGCAGGACCCTCTCAGCCCAAGTCTTGGGCAGAGCCCTGTCTTCATCCCTAGCCTACGTTAATGAGACAGCTAAGGCCATAATCAAAACCCATGTCTTCTGTGCCCACCCTGCAGTTCCATGCAGCACAGCACTCATCCTCAACCAGGTTTGTGGGCAAATCCCGACTTCCATCCCCACCCTGAAGTGACTAGGAGGTGGCCTTCTCCTCCCCAGAATGTGGGGTAGAGTCCTGCATTTGGGTAACATACAAGTGGGGTCGGCAAAACAGCACTGCAGAAACATTACAAAGGCTTTGTAAACTAGGATGACATTTGAACCATAGCCCACGAAAGTGAGCCAAGACGTTCATTCTAAATCTCAACAGTTTACTGCTAAAATTGAAGATTTCAATAGGAACCACAGTCTTTATAACACTCAAAATATCCAGAATACAGTTCAGGGTTACACTTCATACCAAGAAAATCTCAACTCAGATGACAGAAGACAATCAACAGGCACCAATATTGAGAAGACATAGATGTTGAAATTATCAGACAAGGAAAACAGTTACCATAAAAATGCTCCAACAAGCAATTATAAACACTCTGGAAACAAAAATAGGAAATATCAAAAAAGAAATAAAGATATAAAAAAGAACTAAATGGAAATTTTAGAACTAAAAACTTCTTAACAAATAAACTCACTGGATAGGATCAATAGCAGAACGGAGATGTCCAGTTCAAACAAGAGCGAAAATAGATTTTAAAAAGTGAACTGAGCCACAGAGACCTGTGGGACAATAACAAAAGATTTAACTTTGTGTTGTTGGAGTCCCAAGAAGAGTATAAAGAGTTAGAGGCTAAAAAAAAAAATATTTGAAAAATTAGTAGCTGAGAACTCCCCAAATTTGGTAAAAGCAGCTAGAGAAAAATTATGTACTTACTTGGAGATACTTTTATGTAAATGAAAAGTATTAAGAACAGTTTCGATGCGAAGCATCTATAACCCAGTCATCCAAGTCCTTTTTGGAACCTGGCATTCACATCTGAAACATAGAATTGGCCTAGAGTTCAACTTAGCTTCTGACTTTATGGTGATCATGACATTGCTGTATAACGAACCCTAGGACATTATACAAGAAAGGCCTCTCAACATGTTGTTTCATTCTTATAAATAACAACATAGTAATGGTCAACACTTATAATTTACTACATGTAACTACTCTACATATATTAAAGCCTCACATGAACGTAATAATAACAGAACCTAATAATAGATGTAATAATAATAAATACTGTATTATTCCCATTTTACATAACTAAGGCACAAAAAAGCTAACTACTCAAAATTGCACAGCTAACAGAAACTAGATCTAACTTTAAGTTACAAAAGTTACACAATACATTAAAACATACTGGGGAAGCAAGGTCTTAAGTGGACAGACATTTTGCCATCGATTTGTCTTATTGAATCAGAGATCTATATCTAATATAGGTATAAAGAGGAATTTGGGGTTTGGGTTATGTAGTCATTTGGACATCACTATACAGAATGGTGTTGGGTCATTTCTTCTGATAATTTAGATTGAGTGCTTTGCTCTGGATGCCTTTATGTATTCAAAGAAGAAGCTACTGTTCTTGAGTGATGTTAGTGTTTAGCCACTATTACCACTGGCCATGCCATCTCCAGTGCTGTACACACACACTCGCGTGCGCGCGCTCACTCAAAGACAGCTCTTCGCTACACCTAGCCTGTCTTTGCACTTGGGAGGTGCTCAGTACATGTGAATTTTCCTCCGTTAGTCACCACAGGCCTAAAGTTCTTATTTCAAGTTGGCAGTGTCTACATATTTATGAAAAAACAACTCCATGTTTAAGTTTTGGCTAATTTTCTTTGTCTCTGTTAATTGTTACTCCTCTATATAGTTAGATTGCAGCTTTACTGAAAGTCATAATGATGATGATAATTTGTCTAACATTTTATAATAGGCAAAGCACCTTGAATGCATTGGCTCATTAATGCTCATAACAATTCCGTGAGTAAATGTTATGCTCCCCTTTCTGTCAAAACAGCAAGCAAAAATGAAGCTTGCCCAAGGACAACAAACAATTGTCTTATCATTGTGTGATTTTCAAATTGGTTTCATTAAGACCTGGACATAAATGGCACAAACCCCATTTGGATCAGATATACAGGAGGTCAGCATCAACTTTTCAGGAACTTAAAAACTTTATAAATATAACATTTATTTTAGTTAAATTATTCAGCTGTGGTTTATCACTCTTTAGTCTAATAAATTATTTGTATTTCTCTCTATACCTTCTAAAATTCCATTGTGTTTTGTTGAAAATAAAATTTCTCAAAATATTTTAAACTAGAAAATGTTTGGGTTGTAGCATCTCAGAAGCTATAACCCAGTAAAATTACAAAGCAAAGGAATAATTTCAGTAGAGGCAATATGGTATAGGTGTTAAAATCGTGGGCTCTGGAATCATCCATAGGCTTGAATCTCAGCTCCCTATGGACTAAATGCATGACCTTGGCTAAATTACTTACTACCCATGTGCTTGGTTTTGCCAGGTTTATAAAATGACAACAGTATTAGTACTTGTTTCATAGTTTTGTGAGCTTAAATGAAATAATAAATGTAAAGCACTTGGAATGTACTTGGCAGTAGTAAGCTGGTGATAATAGTAGTAACAAATAATAACTATAGCTATTTTTAGCTACTAGCTACTAGAATATATAAAATTATATATTATATAGAAAGGGTTATGAATAGATATAAATATGAGCACACTATTTTAAGAGGTCTCCAGGATATTATTTTTGGAGACTCAATTCCACCTCATATCAAATGTATTAAAATGCAATTATATCCCACATTAAATATAGTTTGTATGTAACTTGAAATAAGTGGATAAAATTTTAGTTGGCTAATTGGCATAATGTTGCATTTTGTAGACATTTAATTAAACACATTAATTTGGTTTGGTTTGGTTTGGTTTGGGTTGATGTTTTCCTGAGGGTCATAATAGCAAGTAAATGATGAAGTATGAGCTAGAAGTTTGGTATTCTGACTGAAACCCAAAATTTTCCAAGAGAAAAGATGGGAATATGTTTTCCAACTCCGCAAGGACTGCTGGAAGCTAGTCCCCTTTTCAGCGTAATTCGAGCTGGAGTGTCTTTTGCTAAAATAAACAGCCCAGAATGCTCAAAACTCTGAAAACAATAATGAATTTTTCCTCTTTTTTTTTTTTTTTAGATTGTGGTTTGAATGTTCATAAGCAATGTTCCAAGATGGTCCCAAATGACTGTAAGCCAGACTTGAAACATGTCAAGAAGGTGTACAGCTGTGACCTTACAACACTCGTGAAAGCCCATATCACTAAGCGGCCGATGGTGGTGGACATGTGCGTCAGGGAGATTGAGTCTAGAGGTGAGGCGTTTCCCGGGCGCTTCAGAGCAGTTGGAACTCGCCGTGAATGCGAGTCCTAATGCCGCTCTGGGCGCTTCATTGCACAACCCGGCTATCTTCTGGAAGCTTAGGGGGAATGATTTCAGATACCCAGTGATCTGAAAGTCTGAAATGAGTTAACTTAACAAATAATTAATCAGCTGGATTTCAGGGTACATTTTGGTACATTTGAAAAGTTGTAGAAAATATGCTTAAAAATATATTTATGGATGATGCTTCCAGTCCGTAAAAGTTGATGGGCAGACACCTGTTCCTTTTTCAGTTTTTATATTTTTCTCGGGTCTGAGAAGCACAGGTGTAAATGCTCTATAAAACTAGCCTCGGCCCAGAACCAGAGCTGCACCCTAATTATTCTTTCTCCCGGGGGAAACCTGTTACAGGCCTATTAACATAGTTTATCTTAGTCTTCTGTTATGTAAAAGAATTTATTGTGTAATTGGGGTGATGAATTATTTCCCTTAAGACTTAACCAGTTTGATCTAATTAGGCAAAATGATGAGCCAAGTTACAAATATCCACGTGACAGCAGGTCACAGTTAAAGAACTGCGTGTGAAATGGTTTCATTTTAGGAGAAAAGCATGAAGGAGTTTCTAAACATGTACATTTTCTAATTCTTTTTGACACATTACCTCCCCAGTCTGAAGCATGGCAAGAAATTAAAATTTAAAGAAAAGGCATAATTTTAAAGAAACTTATTGGCTCCAGTCCTTTATTTTTGCAGGTCTTAATTCTGAAGGACTATACCGAGTATCAGGATTTAGTGACCTAATTGAAGATGTCAAGATGGCTTTTGACAGAGGTATGTTCTTCAGCGTGTTCATTAACTTAGGACAATAATGCACTTTGCCAAAAAGGCACACTGTCTTATGTTATTCCTTGCATTGTTTTCCTAACTCACTGATGATTATTATACCAGATAAAAGACTTAGCTTAGGATTTATTTTTTATTGATTATAAGTATTAACCTGTTAAATTTCAGGGTGAGAAAGAAGCATAAAACTTAACTATGTCACCAATATTTGAATATCCAAGGTCCATGTTTACCAAAATATATACAGCACAATTAAATTTACCAAAAAAGCATGGAGAAAATGGGGGTGGAGGTATCTAAGTCATTACAGATCTCCGATTTCCCGGGTTTCAGTTGGGCCCATCTAACTCTGTTGTCCATGCATCCTCGTCACCATCTTTAACTGAGTGGAGACCCAAGTTCTGGCTCACGTGTCAGGGACAAGAAGCTGAGAGGAACTGAGGACCTTAAGGCCTAGGACCCGTCCCACTGTGCGAGGAGAGGCAGCCACAGAAGAGCTCAGTGGGGCTTATTTTCTTTTAACAAACATTTAACTTCAGATCTGTTCCCATGGTTCTCCAGTTTGTCTTTAAGCACTAGAATAAGGTGGTACCACAGACCTATAACCTTAAATATAGAACTGAAACAGAGTGAGACTGGTGATATCTTAAAGAGCCTCTTTCCTTTCCAAGTGTGTATTTCTAGTTCCATTACACTCCTCTCCCATCACAAACCTCTTACAGCCAACAGAGGCAGGAGACAAAAATAAATTAAATATTGTCACCAGCCTGATATGAGGAAATCTAGGCCAGCCCAAACATTTGATAAAAGTCAAAGAAGATGAAGTGAAGTAATGGTACGTTAAGTTCAAATAAGCGTCAAGAACAGTCCCAAATCAATTTCAAATTGAAGGTCAAGAGACATTTCTTATTCTCGAAAATAAATCACACTGACAAAAAACTGAGTGTGTCCATGGGGCCCAGAAAGCAAATAAATGGCAGCCCTCCTCTCATGAAAAATACAAGACAATCTTTTCGTGCCCTGAAAACACCAATAAAAGGTTTGAAAATTCATGAAGAGCTCACCTTGGCTCCATATAGCCACACCCTTGGGGCCAGAGTTTGATACCACCCCCCCACTCCTGCCCACTCCCACGGCTGTGTTTACCAGCATTCATCTGCGGGATCGTGGGAACGAGGCAAAGAACTAGAACGGGTGCAAAAGAAGCCAGTGGCTCAGCTCATTTAAAGCAATTCTGTACAAAACTGCTGCCCCAAATCTATGCGTGTTGAAAGGAACAGGGGATCAAATGAATGGATCAGAATAAATTTGAAGTACTCAAGGATGGTCACATATAGGTTTGATAACCCTCAAAAAAAGAGATCCAAGAAAAAATACAGGATCCATGGAATGCTGGAATGAACTCATTCAATTCAAGTGTCCCAAGTAAAAAGGCAGGATTTGGGAAATCTCCCCTCACGTAGGAGATAGGCACTGAATGGAGCACTCACTAATTATAACACATATATTTTATGTTTATATTATATGTGTTTATATTATAACATATATTTTAATAGCTAGAAGAGAATATATAGATTCTTATCAACAGCAAGGTTAAAGGAGCCAGTTTAATAATAGTACACATAGTGAGCCCCAGAGTGTTAATGCCTCTTGCTTAATGTCCAGGCCCCTCGCTTTTTAAAGTCTATTTTCCATTGATTAACTCAAAGATATCTATATAACAGCTAGTGCGTGCCAGGCACCACGTCCTTCACTTTAGATACAGCAGCTAACCATGTGCGCTTGGTCCTTGCACTCATGGAGGAATCACCTTAAATAGTCACATGATGGTTATCGATTTTATTTTAATAAATGCCATAAAGGAGAATAACGGGAATTTAACTAGTCAGTTAGGGTGGGCAGTGGTGCTGGAGATCAAAAGAGGTTTTCCCAAAGAAAACTATGCGTGTATGTTAAAGCTACAGGATGAATAGGAGCTGGGTCTATGTTGGTTGAGTAGCAAAGAAACAGGATATGTGAAGGCACTGGCGACAGAAGAGCCTGCACCAGGGCCTGAGGCTGACGTTGTCGGGGCCCTGAGAGGCGCAAGTGAGAGGACAAGCAGGCCGAGGGAGAAGGAACGCAGTGTTTCACCACAGAATTGTAATGCTGGGAGATTCTCAGACCAACTTCCCAGTTCTGTTTAACCCATCGTGTAGCTGAACTGAAGAAATGTGACTTGACTTTCAAAGCCAAAGATTGTACTGTAGCCTGTAATGAGACAGGACATTTGAAATCTGGATTCCCTTTGAAAAATAACTAATAGATATTGGAAACAGGAGCCATGGGCCAAGGAACAGGAAACTTGTTCTCCTTTTTTTTCTGAGTAAAAGTTTCGGTAGAGGTGGTAATTGTCTTTGTGCTTTGCTAACCCCTTCTCTGGGTGCTTAGAGGCCCAGCACCTCCCTACTCCCCTGAGGTTCCCCCAGTGAAGCAGTCTGCATTGCCTTGTCCTTCCAGAAAGCATTCTATCCCAATTTGGCCTGCCACTGCGTATGATTTCAGCCCAAGTGTGAAAGATGGGCACTGATGATCTAATTCGTACTTGAATGTGTCTGATAGGCCAAGGTATTTGTATTTTAAAAGAGGCTACTTTAAAAAAAAAAAAGCCTTTAGAATAATTCGTTTTATTTATTTATTTTTTTAAAGATTTTTTTATTGGGGAATTGGGGGATGGGAACAGTGCTGCGGAATTGGGGGAAGGGGAACAGACAAATTGCTGTCCTTTTGTTCTTCAGTCTAGTTGTGGAGAATGTTGCTTCACTGGCCCAAGTTGGCACCATCATTGTGCTCTTCCCGGGTGAGGCAGATCAGTCGCCAGCTTCTGGACGGCCGCTCACTGCGGCTGCTGGCCGCTCACGCTGGCTGCTGGCTACACACGGTAGCCCATGGCAACCCACTGCCACAGGGGCTGCAGCCTACGCCGTCGCGACTCACGGCAGCCCAGCTTCAGGTTGAGCTGTTGTTCAGCATCTTAGCTGTGGAGGGCAGTGTCACTGGCCCTCGTATGTGGGATCTGAACCGGGGCCCTCTGGCATCCCAAGGCAGCTCTTAACCAACGCGCCACTCGGCCGGCCCAGAATAGTTTTAGGTTTACAGAAAAACTGAGCAGAAAGTAGATTTCCCACATAACCCTCCATGCTCCTGCCCAGAGCTTCCCCATTGACATCTTGTATTAGTATAGTACATTTGTTACAATTTATGAACCAATACTGATGCATTATTGTTAACCAAAGTCAATAGTTTACATTAGGATTCACTTTATATGTCATACAGTTCTATGGGTGTTGACAAATGTGTACAGTCATGTATATACCATTACAGTATCATACAGAACTTTGACCACCATGAAAATCCCTTGTGCTCTACCAATTCGTCCTTCACTTCCTCCCTGAGCCCCAGAAAACCACTGATCTTTTTACTGACTATAGTTTGGCCTTTCCCAGATGTTATATACAGTAGCTGGAATCACAGAGATTATACAGTCTTTTCAGACTGACTTCTTTTACTTAGCAAGGTGTATTTAAAGTTCCGTGACTTTTCATGGCTTGATAGCTCATTTCTTTTTATAGCTGAATAATATTCCTTTGCCTGGATGTACCTCAGTTTCTCTATTCATCTTGGTTACTTACAGTTTTTTGACAATTATGAGTAAAGCTGCTATAAACATTTGTGTCAGGTTTTTATATGGACATACGAGAGTTTTCAGCTCCTTTGAGTAAATATCTAGGGGCATGGTTGCTGGATTATATGGTATGTTTAGTTTTGTAAGAAACTGCCTATGCTCCAAAGGGGCTGTACTATTTTGCATTTTCACCAGCAATGAGTGCAAGTTTCTGTTGTTCCACGTCCTTACCAGCCTCTTGTGTTGTCAGTGCTCTGGATTGTAGCCATTCTAATAGGTGTGTGGTGAAGAGGCTGCCTTTTAATCTATAGAAATCTTTCATAAGCCAAAACAAACAAAAGAAATCTAGCCTAAGATCTAGCTCAGAGTAGACACTAATTAAATCTTTAGTAGATGAGGGCCAGCTGAATGGCTCGTTGGTTAAGAGTTGGCTTGGGGGCCGGCCAAGTAGCGTGTGATTAGGAGTTGGCTTGGGACGCCAGCTCTGAGCAGCAGGGCCCCAGTTCAGATCCCACATGAGGGCCAGTGACACTGCACCCTCTACAGCTAAGGTGGTGAACAATAGCTCAACCTGAAGCTGGGCTGTCATGAGTCGCCGGCGACGGCGTAGGCTGCAGTGGGGCTGGCCGGCAGCCGGCGTGAACTTCCGTGAGCTGCTGTGAGCAGCCGTCCAATGGTCAGTGAGCCACTGCCTCACCCGGGAAGAGCGCAATGATAATACCGACATGGGCCAGTGAAGCGACGTTCTCCACAACTAGACTGAAGAACAAAAGGACAGCAACTTGTCTGTTCTCCTTCCCTGATTCCCCAACACTGTTCCCCTCCCCCGATTCCCCAATAAAATCTTTAAAAAAGAAAAAAATCTTTAGTAGATGAAAATGCAGGTATTTTAATGAAGACAAGTACTAAATGCTCAGGGGAATGGGGAAGGTTAGCTTTGCTCAGGAGTCTTAGAGCCCTGCACCTCAAAAATATTCCTCCATGTTATAATTTCTTCTCCTCTTGTTATTTCAATACTCTGTAAAAGTTTTGTTTTGTTTTTGCTTTCTTACTTCTCACTACCTCCCTTAACCCCAGGACTCAGGCAAGGTCCAAATGTTATGTGCTGCAGCCTGGGGTGATACAAAAGCACAAAAAACAAAGGCCTTAGGTGTTGGGGGTCTTTTGTAAGTTGGAAGTTCCTCCGTTGTTATTTTTCACATTCTCTATTATTATTTTAAAAAGGAATCCCACATTGTTCCCTTAGGAATTCTCAAGTATGAAATTTAAAAATATTTCTGCTGACCTTAGTCCTCTCCTGATTTTCCCCACCATAATTAAACATGGAAAAATAACTTTAGAATAGAAACTTTGAAAACATAGATTTTGCTTTTTACAGAGAATTGGTCTCACACACACACACACACACACACACACACACACACACACACACACATAAATTTAGCATAATGAATTTGATGTTAAGAACTGAAGCATTACTAATCTTTAAAAACCATGTACAGAACACAGTGCTGTGAATCGATATTTACTTTTGTTTCTTTTAACATCCTTCAAAGATGGTGAGAAAGCAGATATTTCTGTGAACATGTATGAAGATATCAACATTATCACTGGTGCGCTGAAACTCTACTTCAGGGATTTGCCGATTCCCCTCATCACATATGACGCCTACCCTAAGTTTATAGAGTCCGCCAGTAAGTATGAAGGCACATGTTCCAAATAACCAGACAAACCACCTCTTCTTGGGAACCACTTCTATTCTTTTTTTTCTGCTGAATGTCTCGAATGCATTTTATGAAATATTTCTCTCTCACCTCTCTCCATGGTTAATATACTCACAAGAATTTTGAACGCTTCTATAACATAGGTTGCTTATGACTTCGACCATCCGAAGCTTCTTTGTAATATGCTAACCCTTGTTTTCCAAAGTAAGGCTCATGCCAGTGCACCTTAGATATGGACCAGTACTTTTATAAAATAAAATACAAATGAATAACTGGAAAAATTAAGTTGAAAAAACAAGACCAACTATTTTGTTGTTAGATTCAGCAAGCATAAAAATTACTGTCATTTTGCTATAAAAAAATTTTTACTCTCAATTTCCATACTTGCTCTGTGACAGACCATTAACAGTTTGTAAACTGTCACAGGTCCCTAGATCAAGAAGTTATTTTTTAAGTTCTAGTTAAGATGAAAATGCGAAAAACAAAGGCTCTTTGCCAAGTTTTATTTATACTGCAAAAATCATACCTGTAATTTATACTTATTTTTTTTTTAAAGAAGGGAATTCTTAACAGATTTTAACGGTTGGCATTACCATTTTTTAGAAAAGATAGGCTTTTTCTTTCATATGCTTTTCTCTCTCAAAAACCATGTTGTTTTGATCTTTAATAACATCACTTCCTTAGTAACACTGGTTTGCTTTTTGACTTTGAAATTTCATGAAGTACAAACTTTCTTTGGTTCTGATTTTTAGTTTCCCCTTCAGAGGTTTTGTTGAGAATTTTTGTGGTTAGTTCCCTGGAGTCCTGATTTGTTGCAGGTCATCTCAGCTCTCGTGTGGAAACAGCCATGAGAATTACCCTGATTTTTACAAATGCTCATGGTACGAGCCTCCCTCGCTCAGGACCTTGCCATGTGTCTCAGTAAATGCCAAGTCCCTAGAATAGCCTGTAGCGCCTGACATGAAGAGGACCCCATTACCTCTCGGACGTCACCCCGTCCACTCTCCTCCTTGCTCACCTCACTGCAGCCACATTCGGCTCCTCACTTGTCCTCAGACATCACAGGCGTACGCTTCCCTCGGGATCTTCGCACGGCGGTTCTTCTGCCTGGAACCAGCTGCCCCCGGATCTCCATGTGGTTCATTCACCCTCTCCCTCAAAGTCTGTGCTCAGACCTTCTTTCTCACTGAGGCCCACCCTGACCACCCATTTATAATAGCATCTCCCCAGTATTTCCAGTGTTTCTTATCCTGCGTTTTTTTCCTTGGCACTTGCCTCATTCTAATATAAACTATAAGATACCTATTCATTGTTTATTGTCAGTCACCCTCCAATAGAGAAAGTAAGCTTTCCGTGAACAGGGAATTTTATTTGTTTCCACCCCACCAACACTATCCTTACTTCACACCATTCGCCCTACAAGGATTAATTGTGAGAGTTAGAAGAAAACTAAATAAAGTACTCTTTTTTTTAATTTTCAGAATAGTGTAGTTCAAATTAATTAGTCCTATATAGTTTTCCAGAGTGAATGGAATTTTCTTCTCTTAATTCTAGAAATTAAATGATTGAATTTCAGTGGCTGAGATGCTATTGCTGTTATGAATTGGCACTCTTTAAAGACCTCAAGGTTCAAAGACCCTGCATTATTTTTCCTGACAAAATGGCAAATAATAACATTTTTTGTCACTAAGAAATGAACCAGGAACCCTGGGGAAGCTTGGGGCAGAAATTGTAAAATGGCCAAGTTTCTTTGAATTATAAAGCTTCAGTCACTGTTCACATTCTGAAATTTAACCAAACTGTTCTGTCAATGCTAAAAACTTTTCACATTCATCTTATATCAGCTTTTACCTGATTCCAGTACATCGCCAGTGAGTTGGTGTGTTTTATTAAATTAGAAAGACGAGGATTCTTGGTTTTGTGTCTTGAGTGTTACTTTCTGGTCAAATGCGGCCTTCCAGCCTTTCAAGGCTGCTTCCCTGATTAAGACTCAGCAGTTTGGGGTCCCTTTGCAGTTGCCTTGAAATTGAGCATTTAAAGGCATCCCATCTTCCTGACATTTGTGTAAAAGCAGAAATGTGCTAGGAAGGAGCACCGAATTCCAAAGATTCCTTTTGTTTCCGATTATGGAAATGATTGCTGAATTAAATACAACCTGTGACCCTAAAGGAATGTACTGGGGTTTTTTGTGTTTTTTTTGGTTTGTTTTTTTTTTCCCCAATACAGCATAACTAAAACATCCCAATGAAGGTGATTCCTTCAAAGTTTACACCTTTGGAAGATTCACATTTATTCCAGGGATTCTGTTGTCATTCAAAACATTCAGAATTGCTTCAAAGTCTGCATTGTAGCTTCTGAATATCCTAAGTAGCAGAATATGTTTGTTCTTAGAGGGTAGATTTGACTTTTTTATATAACATAAAGTAATTTAAAACTAAATCTAATGAATAAATGAAGTAAGATTTGGATAATACATTTCTCGGTTTAAAAAGAAAAAAGCATGAATATCAATCAATAAAACTTTAGCAGGGGTTACAAGGGGCAAAGGGATGGCATAGATTCTATACCATCACTTAAAGGGGATTTTCAAAATATTTTGAATAATGCAGCATCCCTTAAATATGTCTGTTTGTTCTTCTAAGATGACCTCATTTGAATATATGAGTTTTTATGGGTGTGTACATATGTGTCTGAATTTTTAATTGTTACATTCTATATATCTAATAGCCAATCTCCATAGTTACCAGACTCCAAGACACTCAAGTGAAAAAAACTGGCTGCTCTCCCCAGAAATCCAAGTAAATGGTATTGCCACATTGGAACTAAGCCTCTGAAAAATCTAAGACTTGACCCTTAAAAATACTTTCCAAAGCTGTGGGCAAGGATCTGTGAGAAAACATTTCTTACCAGTTTTAAAAGATCGCCACAAGAATAGAATTAAATGAACCATTTGTACCCGTTGTCTATGTTAATGTTTCAACTCTCTGTTTTAGAAACTATGGACCCTGATGAGCAGTTAGAAAGCCTCCATGAAGCGCTGAGACTGCTGCCACCGGCTCACTGCGAAACCCTCCGGTTCCTCATGGCCCATCTCAAGAGGCAAGTTATGGACTTTGAAGCTTATGCCTGTACTGCATCCAAATTTTAAGAATAAAATGAAACCGGAGGTGACAGAAAGGACAAATGAATTATTGAATGAATAAATAATGCATAGCTATGTTGTTTTTTTGTGTGAGATTGCACACGCTCAGACGGAATGCTAGAAATACTGTGCACTGCAGCCCTGAATGCACCTGATTCTGACAGAAGTGTATGTGCAATTTTGGTATATGTTGGCAAATATGTTAGAAATACTAATATCCTGCCAAGGACATGCGGTAGTTTTTGTTGAAAGGGAAAAGGTTGTAGCTGTGAACACGCTACATTAGCATCATAAAGCAAGAGCAAAACAACTTGCAAGAAGGCCTGGTTTTTTTTCCTTCTTACTCCAAAATAGGCACTAGACTTGATGATAGGATTTGAGATTATTGAATTAATGTTGCCAACACTGACAACTGCTATAAAAAAATAATGGAGTAAAGTAAGGCATAAAGGGAGGAATGGAAAATAAAATATTTCGTTACTTCTGGTTTAATGTTTTAAAGTGATTGATGGTGATGTAGCTTTATTTCCCTGTTCAGTCACCCTCCATCTCTACCACATGAAGCCAAGTTTTTAAAATTATATGACCAAGTTTTAGTGGGTTTAGGATTTCAAAATATAAAACCAATGAGAAAGAAAAAAGACAACAGCACTTGGCCTCTATCTTATATGCCTTTATGCATGAGTTACCCAAAAGTGAATATTTAATTGATGGCACTTTTAATATTTATATGTTTTTCCTTTTTAAAAGCACCATGAGTTAAAACTTTTGTTTAATTTGCTTACAACTTCACTTGTAAATTCAAGTTTGCTTCATCTTTGGATGCACTTAAGTACTCCACACTAAAACAAAGGAATAACCCTCAAATTATAGGCTCTGTGCTTTCGCTATAGCCGTAAAAATAATATAAACACTTACACTCCCTGACAAGGTTGCTTACCCTCAGCCATTTTCTGTTAATGTTACTACCACACTCTCCCTAGTCACTTGCAAAAATAATCTACAGGAAACAAGAGAGCCAAAGTGGAGGGAAGGAGGGAGAGAGGGCGGGAGGGAAGGCTGATGGAATAATTAAGACAACCCCGTTCCTTCTCTACTATTTGCTAACATACCCCTGCAGCTCTAGGCTGTGGCCAGAGAATCCACTAATAGAACTGAACCCACAACATCCAGCACTTTAACTCAGGCTTGATGTTGAGTAATCACCAGAAGATTAAATTATTTATTAACATAATTAGTCTGTACTTTGAAGTTAATGAGAAGTATAGAGAAATAGCCTAGAGGAAGAGTTGATAAGTGGCCACAAGCCTTTATTGTGAATCTTGTTTTTGTTTTAGTGCCAAAGCACAATGAAGAACCCCGCGGTCTACACAAAGTCATACTCCTTTACTTGTATTTTTCAGAGTGACCCTCCATGAAAAGGAGAATCTTATGAACGCAGAAAACCTTGGAATTGTTTTTGGCCCAACCCTTATGAGATCTCCAGAACTAGACGCAATGGCTGCATTGAATGATATACGATATCAGAGACTGGTGGTAGAGCTGCTTATCAAAAATGAAGACATTTTATTTTAAATTTTTAGTTTGAGGAAAAAAAGAGATGTTTTACAAATGAAGGAATGTTTTATAGTAATTTAATTAGCTCTTATAGCTGAATTATTTCTTGGTTAGAAGTTTGGGCATATAACCAGATTAAAATGAAGGAACTTTCTGTTGTTTTTGTAGCACCACACAGCTGTCCTTGTAAAACAGTGAACACACGCTTTCTTCCAGTTCTAGTAATCCTGGGTGTTTATCATGTTAAGAGAAACACACGCTATTGCATGATTAGCCCCCTGTTTGGAAAAGGAACCCCATACAAAGGAGACAGCAAGCCTGCGCCGCTTTCCGTCCTGGGTAGTCCGTGGTTGTAATTCAGCATGTTTCGCAGAGTAAACCTGTTGTGACTTCGCTTTTGGGTTCTATGTCATTGGTTTCTGATGCTTATATAAACATGCACACAAATGGATAAAACAGCACTTCGGGCTGCTCACTGCCATAGACTAACTAACATATGCCTACTTTTCTCACATGCTTTATTTCTGGTTTCTCTTCATTTTTCTCTAACAGAGCACTTTCTGGCCAGAAAAAGCAAATGTGTTCAGGTTTGTTACTTTAGTAAATTATCCATACCAATTAAAAAGTACAATGCAGAGCATTTTCTGTTACATTATTATTGGGTTTTAGTTGTAATTTTGTGTTTTTATCTGGCATGCAGTTATTAATTTATTAAATTTGGCTTTTAGAAATCAAAACTATCGATAGCTTACTTTCTTCCCATGATTGAGAATATTTGGGAAAATGTGTTTGTCCACTTATTTAATACTGAGCACTCCCTCTTCACCTCTTTTGTTTACTATTGAAAAGTTGTGTGTTGAGCTCCTGAAATAATTTTAAACTGCCTAGAATTAAAACAGCCATTCATTGATTTTTCTGTTTTTATTATTAATCTCAGTGTACAAACAACATAATTTATTAGACATTTACACACCTCACAAAGTGATAACCCCAACAAGTCTACTATCCATCTGACACTGTACACAGCTATTATACAATACCATTCACTATATTCCCTATGCTGTACTTTACATCCTGTGACTATATATATATATATATATATATATATATATATATATATAT